ATATATGAAATCAATCCCATACTCTTAGAGAAAATTGGTGCTATTTGAAAGGGGGCGTGAAGTCTTACAAACGCACTGAAACTATTACGTATCTTTGTATGCATGCCCACTTTTGCTGGGTTATTTAAGACGGAAATGGAACTATGCCCTCTGACAACCACAAAATCGTAATATTAGAAGATAAATGCCTCACTGAAAATCATGAACGTGAACTGTTGGTGAAAATGTTGGACCAAAATTTTTCAATACAAAAATTTTATTTTGGGCCGGACAAAGTTCGGCGGGTCTGCTGATTTATTTATGATTGTTTGATTGATTTGATTTATTTATTTTTACTCATCAAGGTGTTATCTCATGTTATGTTAATCTCAGTAGATCGAAACATACAAATATCGGCATTATGCAACGTTAACAAATGAGTCAAATGAACTACATATTGCTTATGTAGCGCGGCCCAAGCGCACTCATACTTTGTTTATTTCCTACCAATTTTGTGCTCGAAAAGATCCCCAAAACTTGATTTCGAATGTAGCAACATCAGTGAAATGATGACTATAAATTAAACGGATAGAAACTAGATTACTTTTTCTGTATATATATATATATATTTATACAGTTTTTATAAACTTGTGCTAATACTAAGTATGTACATATACACAATCTATTTCGTCACCAGTGTTTCATTATCTACTTTTTTTTTAACAACCAGTATAAATGTCACTTCGACCCACCATGCTAGCATGTCATGCCACAACATCGTAAATGATTGATGAAGCACAAAGTCACTCTAAGCCGACTTAAGAGTAAGATACAAAACGCAAATAGGCGCACGCGTTTAACATTTAGTTTAAAGATCTGATACACTAGCAATGTGACTATTTACAGAGAACAGTACTATATGCAGTATAGGTACGAGCAACAACAGCTTAGAAAAGCACTAGAGTCCGACCGATTGTTCGGCTTCAGCTTCGGCTTCGGTATGCCGATTAATCGGCAGGATTTCCATATTCGGCTGAATGCTCGGATTCGGCAAAAAAATTCCGAAGTTTCTGATTTTTTTTAGCATGTTTTATAATTATAAAGGTATACATTTATTGTAAATAATCCTTAAAAAAAATGAGGTTTTCTACTTTTTCGCCAAATCGGNGCTTCGGTATGCCGATTAATCGGCAGGATTTCCATATTCGGCTGAATGCTGGGCTTCGGCAAAAAAACTACCGTAGTTTCTGATTTTTTTTAGTATGTTTTATAATTATAAAGGTATACATACATTTATTGTAAATAATCCTTTAAAAAATGAGGTTTGCTACTTTTTCGCCAAGTCGGCTGTCAGCTGAGAACTTCGGAATTTGAAATTGTGATTAGGGAATATATACTTATAAAAGTGTTCTTAGAGAAGATCATATTTTTTCAATATTGGAATACTAGCCCCCTAAAGTTACGTAAAGCAGTTACTGAAAATTATCTTTCTGCTCCATCAACCTGCCGTCACAGAATAGACTCACTTGGCGAGAACGCAAATTGTTGAATTTAAGTGACAAGATAAGGGCGGCCACAGTAGCTGACTGGTTAGAGGTGCGTACTAAGGACCTGGTCCGTTCAACTTCTAGATGTGAAAAATTTTTTTCTCACAGCAGTTTCTATGTATTTTGTACTTCATGTACATCTAAAAAGGCAAGATGGAGCTTGCTATATGAAAATATCGATTTACTTGATATTAAAGTAAATTATCGGCTTCGGTTTGGGGCACCGAAATTGCGCATATGGAAACTGTGCATTTAGACATTATTTCGGTTTTAAACCGAAACTGTGCATGTATGCATTACTTCGTTTTTTTTCATATGCATTATTTCGCTTTTAAAACGAAAGTATGCATATGCATAATTTCGGTATTTTCTCATATGCATTATTTCGGTTTTCAACCGAAACTGTGCATGTATGCTTTATTTCGGTTTTTGCCATATGCATTATTTCGGTTTTGAAATTTCAGTGTGCATGCAT